ACATGTCATCAATTGAATGTGATGGCTATGGGCCCAAAACAGGAGGTCCAAAGTGTGGAAACAAAGAGACCTTGATCGAGTGCCCTCTGGCCAAGTGATGTATGAGACAACCATAGAGTTGTTGGAATGGATCATAATCAACCAGTTCCAGAGAGCCAGATGGAGATGAACAATGAGCTATGCAGAGATGACTCTGCCACAGATCAACATCCTGCATGTCGAGATATGCACACCAACCCCCCAAAAAAGCATTTATGAAGAGGTGCACCTCTGGAAGAGGAAGTGGAAGCAAAACACCCACTGAGGTGTTACCTCTGTTCAACCACAATGTAAATTCCACATGAAGGGAAGGAGGGAGATGGATAGGGGCATCCAAGGGACCCTGAATGAGGTTACACTGATCTTGTAAGCCCACTGAAGAGATCATGAATGGGCTTAACCAAGGGGAATGAGGGCCTGCAAAGAAGCCCATGTCCCCAAAATATAGAACCTTTCATGCAGATGCAGAAGGAGAAGAGGAAATGGTTTGAACCAGATGCTCCATATATTTTAGGCAAATAGGAGAAGGTTGGCCCCAGATGAGGAGGGAATTGAAAAATACCTCGAGATGAACAAGTTATTGAGTGGGGAGAAAAAGGACTTCTCCATCTTAACTAGCCAATTTACCTGTACAGCTTCTCAAAGAAGTAACTACGTGTGGCTTGCAAAGGTGTTAGAAGCAGCCAGTCATCCATGTAATAGTGGAAATAAAGACCCTTGGAATGGAGAAAGAAGATGAGCAAAGGCTCTGACCATCTGAAAAGAAACATAGAGCTGAAGCCAGCTTGAATGGAAGAGCTCAGAACTGGTAAACACAACCCCACTGGACAAAACAAAGAAAATGCAAGGATGCTGGGGAGATGAGAATGTGGATGTAAGCAGACCAAGAGCAAAAACTCATTGAAGAGATATGTATGACTTTATGGTGATAAGAGGAAGCTGTAGGAAGTAGTTCAAGGAAGACCAATTGATAATGAGGACCAGTCCCTAGTCTTCTTAGGGACATTGAACAGAATAGAAACTTGACTGAAAAGGAACCATCCGTTCCACAGCACCCTTGTGAAGAAGGTCTAGAACTGCTTAGGAAAGATTTTGGCTGGAAATATGATCCCATGGAGGGGGGGGGGGGAAGGAAATGGGATGAGGGGAAGAGAAACAAAGAACAAGCCTTTTGGAAAGAATCCGCAGAATCCAGGGTCTGTGGTGAAAGTCACTCACACAGTGGTAAAATGCAAAAGCCTGGCCCAACCATATCGTCACTGAGGCCACTAAAGATGTCGACAAAAAAAAATCAACAGTTAACCTGAGAGACCTGTGTAGCAGGAACCGGTAATGGAGAGGAAGAGACATGGGAACAGGTTCAGGAGGAGGTTGAGACAAACAGGAAGCCAAAAAGGAAATGGAAGTATGCAAATTGGCAGACTCAACTCTGGACCCTAACGAGTCAAGAAGATCTTCAAAGAAATCTTGACTTAAATAAGAGAGCCATATGCAAGTCCCATAAGAAGGTGGGGTAAAAGTACATGGGACAAAAGGAGGTCCTGACTCAAAAAATCCAAACAACAGAGGAGCTATATTTGGAGGGGAATAAGACAGTCGTGCCAGTGTGGAAAAATCAGGGCACGAGTCTACATTGAAACCCCTCTGGGGAACGATAAAGAATTTCAGACAAAAGGTGAAGTTAGGAAAGGGAAAAGGAGGGAGAATAAGATAAGGCAAATACGGAAAAATTGAGGTTGGGAAAACATGATTAAAGCATTTGGATCAGAATGCAACAAAGCCAGAGGATAATCAAACTGCTGTAAATCCAAAAAAAAAAAACTCACATTGATGGTAAGCCAAAGCATGGGCTTCCATATTACTACAGGGTTTCGGCATATTAACCTCAGTATGTAATTGGTCCACAAACCTGTTGGTATGAATCCAGCAAGGGAGGTGAATAGGTAACGTGAGGTGCACATTCCCTGTGTGATTTACAACTTATAATAGCATGGATAGTAGTTAGACATGGTTCAAAGGGTAATAAAACAATAAAATTTAATTATAAATATATGTATACTGTTATGAACTAAACATACCTAGTTAATAAAGTACTTATTAATACCAAACTGAATAACCCTCTAAACATACTGAGACAACAAAGTACTTATCAATATTGACCTTACAAACCATCTATACATACTTAGTTTATAAAGTTCTTAATAATACCAAACTGACAAACCATCTAAACATACTGAGTCAACAAAGTACTTATCAATATCGACCTTACAAACCATCTAAACATACCTAGTTAATAAAGTACTCAATAATACCAAACTAAAAAACCCTCTAAACATACTGAGACAACAAAGTACTTATCAATATTGACCTTACAAACCATCTAAACATACCTAGTTGATAAAGTACTTAATATTACCAAACTGACAAACCATCTAAACATACCTAGTTAATAAAGTACTCAATAATACCAAACTAAAAAACCCTCTAAACATACTGAGACAACAAAGTACTTATCAATATCGACCTTACAAACCATCTAAACATACCTAGTTAATAAAGTACTCAATAATACCAAACTAAAAAACCCTCTAAACACACTGAGACAACAAAGTACTTATCAATATCGACTTTACAAACCATCTAAACATACCTAGTTAATAAAGTACTTAATAATACCAAACTGACAAACCATCTAAACACACTGAGACAACAAAGTACTTATCAATATCGACTTTACAAACCATCTAAAGATACCTAGTTAATAAAGTACTCATTAATACCAAACTGACAAACCATCTAAACACACAGAGACAACAAAGTACTTATCAAATTGACCTTACAAACCATCTAAACATACCTAGTTAATAAAGTACTTAATATTACCACACTGACAAACCATCTAAACATACTGAGACAACAAAGTACTTATCAAATTGACCTTACAAACCATCTAAACATACCTAGTTAATAAAGTACTTAATATTACCACACTGACAAACCATCTAAACATATTGAGACAACAAAGTACTTATCAATATTGACCTTACAAACCATCTAAACATACCTAGTTAATAAAGTACTCATTAATACCACACTGAGACAACAAAGTACTTATCAATTTTGACCTTACAAACCATCAAAATGTGTAAACATCTAATATTACCTAGAAAACAAAGTACGTATAAATATCTAACTTACAAAAGTCTGAACACTGATGATGTAAAGTACTTAGTGCTCTCGTTAGTAAAGACGGATAAAGCCACACAAAGGGCATCTGAGCCATGCCTATCACAGGTATAAATGTACGTATAAATATCTAACTTACAAAAGTCTGAACACTGATGATGTAAAGTACTTAGTGCTCTCGTTATTAAAGACGGATAAAGCCACACAAAGGGCATCTGAGCCATGCTTATCACAGGTATCTCAATCCGTATTGTAGTAAACAAGTTGAAAAACATTCCACCAAGATACTGGAAGGGCTGGGAGCAATAGAAATAAAGGAGGAGAAGAACAAACCTCCACCACAGTGAATGACGTGCCAGCACAGCAACTGGAGTACGAAAAATAAAACTTGTGAAATCACCCTCGCCTTGAAAATACAGAAAAGCCTCAATATGTTTCAACCATCGTGGAGAAGGTCCAGTCCCCATGAAAGAAGCAAACACCTGATAAACCAAAGTGTGTAACCTCTTGGCAGACAGTGTCAATACTGAGGCCTGGGTAAGAAAAATTAGTGTATTTTCAGTAACAGTAGTAACCGTGTGTGGAATCACAAAAAATTACAAATATAGATAAAAACTCAATAATGTGTGCAAAACAGAGAATCAAAATCTGTAACACAACATAATGCAAGGTAACACAAAAATAAATCATGTTTAGTCTGTTTAGAGAAACAAAAGTAAGCGAGAAACACATCCATTTCATAAGACGCCAATCGAATAAGTGAGGTACACATAATGTAATATAGAGGGAGCCTCCTGCTCTGGAGTGTGCCATGCTCCTATTGGTGGAAGGTTGTTGCATGTCCTATGCATGCTAAAAGTGCAGATTGAACTGAGGAGGTATAAAGGTTAGTGCATCAACCAAGAAAATTTCTATTCAATGTATTAGAGGGCAGTGAAAGATTGAGAAAACTATCTGTGTGAGAAGAGGTATGTATCTCATTGGAAGAAGTAATTTCATGAGCAGTAAGACCTGGACACATTATTCTTATGAAATGTGACTAAATCGGAATACCATAATAAAAAATAAACATGTAAAATTACACAGAGAGTTTACACAATTATTGTGTTAAATTTGATTTGTTATTGTGCTTAATTTTGATACTTTTCTTACACAATCTTACACAAACAGCATTTGATTAAACCTTTCCCAGTAACTTCTGAAGTATGACAAGTGTGACTTAAATGTTCTCGACAGTAACTTAAAAGTACAATAACTAAAACTACAAATGAAAAGCACACTGTGACTGAACAACTCTCTCTTTTATAAGTATTTGCATATCCATTAAAATTATATAAGCATTTACAAAGAGTGGAGTTTACATAACTTCATTTATATGCACAAGTTTGGTTACTAAAGTAATATATTCTTGTTGCTGTTGGCTGGATTCTTTTGGATTATTTAGTAGCAAGAACAATACAGAATATAGTAAATTTAAAAATAACAAAAACATATTTTTCTTGAACTTCCAATTCTATAGTTAGTGTAGCTAAAGTCCAACAATAAGTCTTACCTCACAAAAAAAACTAAGCCTATCACATTAATTTAAACTCCTTTCAGCTAAACAACACAAATTTTGAGAAATGTCTAGATTAACAACATAGAACACAAACATATGTAGAAATATTTTCCAGTATACCATAATTCTGCTCTAAATATGGTTCAAAATCTTGAGTTATGACTGCATATTTACTTAGGAAATAGAATTTTTTTTTCTATTTCATGTGTCTATTTTACTTTTATTTAATAGAAGCTTCAATATATTCAACAAGAATTTGTGAATTTTAAATTTTTAACGAGATATTTTGGGCATCTAGTAAATTATATTGTTTGGGTTTTAGTTCAGTGCAAGTTCCAAAATTAATCACTATAAACCTGGGATATTAAAATGTTTAACAGAAATACAATAAATATGGTCGATTCTATTTTAAAATAAATTGTAACTTTTGTTTCACAGTGCTTTTTAAGACTATGTTTTAAACTTAATTACTAGAAAAATACCTAAAGGGTCAAAACTGTTGGTATATAACAAAATATTTGGTTTAACTTTCTGTTGTCGAATTCATTATAAATAAAAACAATCACTTTAGTGTTATAATGATATATCTCACTGAAACACAAAAAACAAAAATTAAATATTTTATAGTATTATGTGAAAAAAATTTCAATAAAATCTCACTGCTATTTAATTGCTTAAAAGCATTGTTAGTCTTTCAATTATAGATTTTTTTTCAACCTTTCCACAGTTTTAAACGTTGATAACATGTATACACGTGTCCCAGACAATGCTTACCCCAATGACATTAGAAGGTAATGAACTGTCTACCACAACTGAATGAAAACTTTCTAAAGGAGTATTAGTGGAAACTGAAGTAACAGGCTGTGTCTTCTGTTCAAAAGTTAAACTACTCTTTTGCTGTAAGGTAGTAGAAGTTTTACTTTGAACTTTCCATATATTGGATAAAGAATGTAGATGTGAATTTTCATCATCACCAAAAGTTTCATTAGGAAATTCCTTCCCTTGTGCTGGACTAGCTCCCTCTGTTGGCAAAGTTATGTTCTCTGATAACGAATTAATTTCAAAGAGGTCATTTTTTGCGGTCTTAAATGCTGTATCTGTTTCATTTGGTATATGTAATACAGCAGACATTTCAGGTAAACTATTCACATCCAATACTTGTGGTAGTTGAAAGATATCCACAGACATATCCTTCTTTCTGTGAGTCTCTCCTTTCTTAATACATGAAGTTCTCTTCACAAAACTTTTAAATGAGAATGGATTTTCTTCAACATCTTTTTTTACTTCAGTTTCAAACTCTGAAAAATATAAGAAATAGGTAAATATACACTTTTCTTTATTTAATTTTTTATGAATAAAAACAAAAGAAAACTTCCACATACCACTATAATGTCAACAAGTTGAAAAGCGTGTATCATAACTGGTATATACTTGAGTATGGAAGCACATTATGCTAATATAACAATATGTTGGCAAAAAATGTTTTATAAGCATAATGAAGTGATTTACTTTTGGGAGAACATACTACATCTAAAGAAGGCAGACCAACATTCTTTTGAAACATGTATGTTTCCACCAAAATAAATCACTTCATTATGCTTATAACTCATTTTTTTGCCAACTTACTGTGATATAAAGTTGCATTAGATTTAAAACTTGACTTTGTACAAAAAAAATATTCCAATTTTAAAGAATATTTTATAAAAAAAACTACTACGTTAAAAAAAGAACATGCAAGTTATAAAATCTGTAATTTTAAAACAAAGAATGTCAACAGTTAAAGATGATCAGCTAAGAGGAAACAGCTAAGTTAACCCTATTGAGACGGGTAGGGGTCAGAGGGCACGTCATCACATTTGTAGATTTACATATATTATTTAGCTATTATTTTATAAACACATGTCAATAAGTTTGGTATCAAATTGTAGATTATTTTAATATTATAAATTAGTTAGTTTCTTAATTTGAAACTAAATATATAAAAAAAAGCTAAATATTGATTTTTGTGTCACGTGGTATGTGGCCTTCTGGGTCTGGTCAAGTTACATTTTATGACCCCCTACAATATAATGTATATAGTTTCATATGAATCAGAAACTCAAATGGTCGCTATTGGCAAGCTAGAATATAAAATAAGAACCTCCTACCTTTTCTATTTGCTGAGATATAATGATATTTAGCAAACCCACCATATTGGCTCCACCCACCACTTCATCATTTGAGAAGACTTTTTGAGCCTACTTTTATATACTAACTTTATAATCAATAGAAAGCTATATATTTATTCTACATAATTGTGTCAGTCTTTCTAAGTTATTTATGAGAGAAATGCTCTTATATCATTGGAAAGTTTGAAATATTGCTATCAAGGCTATTTTGTGAATAGAAATTATATTTTTTAAGACCCAAATACAATTTAATTAGGAAGCCTGATAAACTACAGTGGATTTTTGGGGTGGTGGTATAGTAATTTATAATTTTTTTGTATTCCAAAATGCTTATATACAGTCTATAAAAATTATTATTTTTCTATCTTCAAATGTGAATTTGGACAAGGCTTAGCAAGTATGGCTCACGAGTGCAAACAAAGACTTTGTAGCATCGTTAGTAGTAGAGATCATTGCTTTTCCAAATATTTTATATTTACTGCTTTATGTTTGAAGAAAAATAACTGACATTTAAGTATTTATTTGAAAACATTAGTTGTATATAC